ATGTCAACGTCCACGCTTATGAGGGACCCAGTGGTCCATAGGCACTTACATCGACAAGAGATACATACGAGGCTCGCCAATCCGCTCTGTCCCCTGTATTTGGACAGATTGCGTAAAATGTGAAAGGCCTGGGACAATTTGAGATTTGATCTGATTAAGCACTAACTTGTTTTGAAAGGTCTAAAAATGTTGCGGGATCTAAAACTCCTGTTTGATGAAGTTTGATACTTTCACAATGAGGAAAAAAAAATGTCTAAGTCAAAGTATTTTGCACATCAGTAGTACTAATTTAACAGACGAACACTATCAATGTTACAGTTTACACTGTCACTTTGACTTTGCCAATTAATTAAGGCTAGATATATTTTTAAGGCATTGATTTATATAGTATAAACTAACTAAATAACATAGGCTTTCACTGGCAACACATCAGTGGACTTCCCTAGTGCATTATAATATATGCTATATTATAAAGTGCCTCCTACTGGTAGAGAATCAATTTGCATTTTCAATAAGCCCGTCTGCAGTTTTTGTTCAGACCAATGCAAAAATCCACCCATATAAGCATGTTTTAAATTAATATAATAATATATACATGTGACTCATCCCTTTTATTAAAAAAAATAATAAATAAATAAATAAATAATAATAATAATAAAAAGGGTTTTAAAGCCTGAGATGTGAGGTTTATCATTTTATAATTAATTTTGTTTTTCTGAAAACCTATATCTCAAATGTAAGCCATGTTTTACAGTAATTTTACAGTTAAAACAGTTAACTTAGAAATTACCCTACCCTGCTCATCTATCTATCTATCTATCTATCTATCTATCTATCTATCTATCTATCTATCTATCTATCTATCTATCTATCTGTCTATCTGTCTGTCTGTCTGTCTTTTTTTTACAACTAGTTCAAATAGTTAAAAATTAAGGCAAACAGGCTATTTGAACACTTTGTAGTTGTCAATCCTTAGTGGAACATGTGCATTACTGTGATGTAGTTATGACTACTGCAACTACTGTAGTTACAATATGCAATAAAGTTCATATAGCCTTCTTTTAAGTGTGACATACTTGTCCAGATATGTTTTGGGTTCACTCTATAAATTCACATAAAATCTTAACAAACTACTGTCTGTCAAGTGTTATCACACAAAGCTAAAAACTAAAACAATTTTAAAAGAGAAAATCTATAAAAGTAACCATTAATCTAGCTTTATCTTTAACAGAAATGTTCACAGGAACATTAGTTTCTGTATCCTGTCCTCTTTTTTACTCTGTCTCCATTAGCTATCAATAATCATAAAGAATCTTAGTTGAAATAGGGCAGAGCTTGACTGGGTCGGTGCCTTCTCACTGTAGGACTAGAATAACAACGTTCTATTCCCGACAGGGGGCCGATCAACAGTGGCATCAATCAGTGTAATAGGAACACGCCAGGCTTTGCCATTAATTGTGCGGCTGGGCATGCAGAAACACAATTAGAGCAGTGGAAATTAGGCCATGTGTTTAGCAGCTTGTAGGGGTCATGCTGGCACTCATATGTCATGTAGCCGGCTGGTGGGATGTGTAGAGTCAGTACGGGGTCTTTCTGCACTTATTTGACAGTATGTTCAATATGTTTAGCGTTATTCTTCCGGTAATGTATGGAAAACATGACACTGTGGGTCACAGGATCTGTTCTCCTACTTCCCACTCACTTCGACTCATTCCACTAGAAGCATTTTTTTTTTCCTTTTAGAACTATTTTAGTTGTTAGGTATTTTTTGTTAGCAACAACATTTTCCAGAAATATTGTCTGAGTATGCATTTTTGTCTGTCAGTTTTAGCATTATTTACATTATTTTTTTGTTTGTTTTTTATAAATGTTTTGAATTAAGCTTTTATTTTTATTATTAATATTTATTTTCTTACATTTTCTTATATTTTAGTCTTAGTATATTGTTATTTATTTGGTATGTGCTTT